GTTAGCTTCAAGGGCAATGATTACTACATTCTATTTTCAAAAATGAATCACTAATGATATTTGAAATGAAGAGCTCAAAGTCAAGAAGACTTACCTTGAAACTGAAATTTGTGTTTTGACTTAGAGTTGGAGAAACCAAGTTGCAGGTGGCTTTTTTTTTTGGTAAATGGTGGTGATGATGCAACATAAGTTATTCTTGTGTTTGAAAAACTTCTATATGAGGTATATGAAGTATGTGGATGGTTTATTTGGACAGAACTTGTAAGATGTGAGAGGTTCAAAGATTTGGACTTCAAAGCTCAAGAGTGGAGGTTTTGTGGATAATTATGGCTTTTTGAGAGTATGAGATTTTGAGGGCTTGTCTACACAACAAAAACTTCTGCCCTTTTAGCTTACAAATGACCTCTCTATTTATAGAGGAGGTTTGAGAGGATGAGAGAGTTTGTTTTACAAGCTATCAAAATTTTGGTTTAGTTGAAATGAAACAACCAAGTTATTATGAAAATTGGTGTTCCAATGCATGGTACAAGCACGGTCTGAAGTTGCTAGAGGTTTTTAGGCATGTTGGTTCTTGCTTTGACATTGTGTGTGCAGAAAAAACAATTGAGAGGCTCAAGGAGAGTTGACTTTGTATAAAGTATGCTTTATGTGAATGACAATGGTGCCTATGTGCCATAAATGGAATGATGCAATGGACAATACTTGAATCACTTGGATAATGGTTCAATCAATTGTGTAAACATCTGATTATGGATAGATTTGCAAGTCAAAAGGCCTTCTAAGTAAGATTATGCAGCATGGCATGAGGATTTTGTTATATGTTCTTCAACAAAATGACTTGCAATTCAAGAATGGATGCCCAACTTCAGGCCCTTGAATCTCCTAGCTCAAGTATGATAAATTCATGCTCTTTGATATTTTGGAAAGCTTGAAACATCCTCTAAAACTTTCATGTTGGCCATTTTGACAAAAGCATCTTGGAACTATGTGAAAAAATACCAAGAAGTTGGAATAAAATCCTGACCAAAATCTGTTGAAAATTTCTCTAAGTGTTAGATGAAAATGCCATGACTTCATGGGCTTATATCTTCAAATCTAAGCATTTCTTGGACATCAACCCTATAATATAAAGTTGTAGAATTTGTCAAGATCTACAGCTTTCATGTTGAAAGTTTCCTTTGAATCATCATGCATCTTGGTGAAAAATTGACATGAAGTAGTGAAATTATCATGTACAAAACACTTAGAAAAATTTCCAAGTCTTTGAAAAGTTTGAGTTTTCAAATTGACTTTTGAATTTCTTGACTTCTTAATGATCAAGCTTGATATTCTTGAATGTCTTGACGAATTTTTATCTTTGAAACTTAATGTTGATTAAAAAGTCAAAAGTTTGACTTTTGGTGTATCAGTTGACTTTTTATCAGTTGACTGAATTTCAGCTATCAATCAATTGATCTTGAGAAATGAATTGATATATGAAATTATGTAAAAAGGATGCATTTGAATCCTTGAGACCATTTTTCAAACCAATAGATTATGTATTAGGTCAAAAGTCAGTGATCAATCGTTCTTAGTCAAAATCCTAATTTGTGGGCTCAGTGTTTTGAAGGTGATTTTGTTTGATCAATTCCTTGAGAATCCTTGAGCATTGGAGATCTTTTGTGAAATGTATTGAGAAAAGAGAGGGAAAATTTTGGGGTACAACAGGCATTCATTCTTGAATTATAGGTCATTTTCATGAAGAACACTTAAACAAATCTCAAGCCATGCTGCATAAATCTTGCTTTACAGGCTTAAAACTTGCTAATCACTCAATAATTAAATATTTACACAACTGTTGGAGACATTATCTAGGTGTTTGAAGCTTTGTCCAAGTTCATTTTCCATTTTTGGCACAAAGTCACCACTTCCATTTTGGAAAAGTGACTTTAATCACAATGTCAACTCTTCTTGAGCCCATACATTGTTGCTTCTGACTCCAAAATATTTCAAAGCAAGAAGCAACATATCTAGAACCCGTTAACCACCCTACAAGTCCTTGCACCATGTATTGGAACTATGTTTGTCAAGCTTGCTTCAAAAACAAGTTTCAAGACCAAAACACGTGATCTCTTGTTTCTGATCCCTTCAAGCTTCCAAACCTCTTGTCTATAAATAGAGAGGTTATATGCAACCTAACACACGAATTCACAAGCCTTGAAACACCCTAAAACTCAGAACTGCATCCAAACCTCCATAACTTGTCATTTCTGGCCAAAAACTTCAATCTCACAATCCACTCGTGCGTTTTTCATCTAAATCATTCTCAAAGCTTCCATACATCAAATATAACTCATCCTCGTCTCAGTTTCACAAATGTAACATCATCTTCCTCATCTTCCAAGCTCAAAAATAGAACTCTACACATTGACTTCTCCAGTACGATTCAAGCACTCTCAGCATAAAGTAAGGGTTGTACTAGCTTCCTAGGAGTCCAATAAAGCTATCCAGATCATCACCACACCTCCAGGAGTGCTCAAACTCCATACACAATTTCCAGTTTTGAGGTAAGTTTTATTAACTTTAAACTCTCTCTACAAGCATCATTAATGGTTACTTTGTGAATGAAAAATGTAGACATCATAGCCCTGAAGCTAACTATGCCCTTAGATTTCAATTATGTTGCCTGAGTGATGCAAATTTTGAGTTTGAATTTTCTGAAAAAATTAGGTTTTGTTTGGTACCAACAGAAATTAATGTTCATCTTTGATTTATAGTTTAAGTTGTTAACATGGTTGAATTCGTATTAAAAAATAGAGCAAGTTTCATGTTTATACTTTTGCAAATGGTTGAGAAATGAGGAAGTTCCAAAAATAAAAAATGGTGGTGTTTATTCTGCGCGCGAATGAGGGAGAAGATGAAGTTCAAAACTCAGAAATGAGTTTATTTTATATTTAGTTGAAGTTGTTTTACTACCAGATGTAACAGTCACCCCAGTGGCAGAGCGCGCGCGTATAAGGCATTTCTATGCCTAGTCATGGGTTTGAGCCAGGCGTGGGACATTTTGTTATTTTCATGTTTGTTTCATGTTAATCATGTGCAAGTAAGCTAAGGACGCACATGATTCACCCCTCATCCATACCATTCATCTGCCAGGCAAGCAGATCCAACGCACCATACGTGTAGCCCATGGTACACTCCAATAAGCCAACAACATGAGATCCATACAGGCGCTTGGACTCTTCATTTGGGCCTTTTTATTTTCTGATCTCATATCCCGCTAATTATTATACCAAGCGCATGCCCATGCACACTTTTTTTTATTTCTATTTTCTGATTTCAAACAAATACATCTTGGGCCCAACCTTTTACTACTTTTTACCATCCTTTTTACTTTTAAACACCCAACCCATTTATTTTATATTTCATTATTTTCATTTATTTATTTATTTCATTAAAACTATAAAAGAAAACACAAAAGAATATATTTTCTTAAATAATTTTATTTAAATATTTTATTTTATTTTTATTAAATTAAGTTCTATTATTTTCTTTTACATTGTAAAAATATTTTCCAAATTAATACTTGCATTCAAATTATTTTCTAAATAAATTACTTAGACTTAGGTTTTGTTTTCTTCTTGAATTCAATTGACTTAGATTTTAGGTTTTTGGTAAAAATTAATTAACTTCTTTTATAATTAAAATTAATTAGTTCAATTAGGTTAATCTCTAAACCTTTTCATCAAAAACCCTAGAAATAATTGTCTTCTTTTCTTCTTCACCTTTACATTTTGTACATTCTATCATTATTCATGTATATGGTTTATATTATAAAGCTCAAGGAAAGCTTACATGACTTCTTAAGTCTGCCCAACATCTTGGTAGATACCTAGTATGAGAAAGACATCCAGGATAAAGCTTTTACAGGTGAATGAGGATCTTAACAGATCAACTTCCAACGTCTCTCTTGGAACTGCTTCTCAACATTGTTCACATATTTAAGTCACCTTCCAACGTCTTTGTTTCTGCCTCAATAACTAATAAACTAACCACCCAACAAGAACAACGTTTAACATACTTTGAGCTAAAGTTATTTGCTGCACAAGAACTTGAGATTTCTTATCCTTGTATATCTTAGAAATCTTAAGTGTTTAAGAACTTGTGTGTTGTATTACTTTTATATTTCTGATATTTTATCAAGTATAGTTGTTATTTATTCTCCTAAACTGTTTGTTTAGAGTATAAGAAGTCTCTTGCTAGTTTGTTTGAGCAGTAGAATCCCTTACTAGTTTGTTTGAGCAGTTGAAGTCTTTTGCATGTGTTCTTGAGCATGAGTCTCTTTCTGGTTTGATTGAGCAGTTGAAGTCTCTTGCTAGTTTGCTTGAGCAAAGTGTAATCTATTTGATTATAGTAAAAATCTATTGTTGGACAAGGGTATTGGACTACTCTCAGATTGTGGGAAAAATCAGGATAATTTTGTGTTGATTTACTTATTGCTTATGCCTTTGATTCTTTCTGGTGTTAACCACTTTATTCAGATTCTCAAGTTGTTTTTCATAAATGAAAAAGAATTCACAAAACACAATTTAACCCTCTTTTTTGTGTATTTTTCTCACCTTCCGAATAAACGTACCGGGGGTGTGAATAATAATTTGCTTCATCATAATTTTAAAATAATAATGGGATGGGAAGGGTGATGCGAATGAGTAGACAAAAACAACGGCTCTATTCTCTGTTATGATCTCCCCAAACTTAAGTTTGGCATATGCGTAAATAAATGCTCCATAAAAAGCATCACCAAAACAAAATGTAAACTACAATTTTAGAGTAAAATTAATAGATTAAAACTGCTAAATTTTACAAACTTTTGTTTAATTATACCACAAAATGTGTTTATGAGTGTATGTTTAATATATACATCCAAAATTAGTCAGGAAGAAGAAAGCAGAAAAACACCCAAACCAAAAGTGGGTTTAAGCTGCCATTAGTTTATTGCAATAAGGGAAAGATGGTCCACTTCACTTGACATGTGCAATTGTACAACCATAATTCATTGGACTTTCTGGTTCATAATTAGTGACGCGTGGATGCTTTTGCAGAATAGCAAGTGCGCGATCTTTAACAGCACCGGTGCCCATCCCATGAATTACAAAGAGAACTGAATATGGCTGACTTGCGTTAATTGCCATCTCAAGATGGATAGCAGCTTCTTCCAGTCGCATACCTCGTAGATCCACAGTATTCTTGGATGTTTGCACCACAGGACTATATGAAGGTTCGTCATTGCTGCTGTTGGTCTTTAAGTTACCCTGGGATTCTCCATTCAGCGAACTCTACATTATCAAATCAACAATGTTCAAATCCATCAGTTTCCATGAACATTTTTGATAATATAATTATATGACAGCAAAGATCTAAACTTCTTCGTACGTACCTGCTTCCTCTGACGAGTGGCAGAAATAGTTGCAGGAGTCTTTGCGCTTTGTCGAATAGCTCTGATGCTATTTTTCTTCACACGTACTTTCATTTTACCATACTGTACCAAGATTGTTCCACCATTCCCAGGCGATTCTACAACTCTTGCTAATTTCCCTCCCAATCCCTTGACACTGACTTGATCTCCAAACTGTGGAGTATAGGATGCAGTGAGATCAGCATCACTGATGAGAAAACCAACAGCAGGAGTATGAGCTTTTACAATGGAGGCAATTGCAGCTTCAGATTCTTTAATAAGTGAATTGAGTTGGTCACGGTCCAAATTTTTTAGTTTCTTTTCAAATTTCTTTATCACAGTTTCCATTTGAGATCTTGCACTCTCTAACTCTTCTTGGACCTGTTGAGCTTCCTTTGCCATTAGCACTATTTCTCGCCTATCGAGGTCATCTGCCTCACTTTGGATCTTAGCAAAAGAAAAATAGAGTGAGCAAGAGAGGGTGGGAGAAAAGGCAATATAATGAGAAACTGCAAGCAAATATGATGATATTCAATTGAAGACTGCTGCCAAATGCTCAATAATTCTTTTGCTGAACAAAATTTTACAGCTATTACGTTTTACGGCATTATGAAAATTTTGGGTGGAAAACTTTATGCACTTATGTTTTAATTTTGAATACTATCAATCAGAAAGTCATATTTTAGAAATTACTCCCTAAAATATATGGAAATTAACAGCTGTTGGCCATCTAGTAAAGAGGCACTGCATGATGGGTTAGTCAACAGACCTACATAACATCCCCATTCCATTTTTTATTTTCTGGTCAACTTAACGAGTCCTTAATTATGAAGGATGCAAATTTCAGATAAACTCGAAAAGGAACAATGATTGTAATACTGTATCGACAAAGGAGAAGAAACTATAATAAAGAAACAGAGTATCTCTTTTTTTTAACTGAATAGCTATATTATACCTCAGAGTACACTTTCATAATTTCTGCATGAGCAGAAGCAGCCTTTTCAGCTTGAGCCTTTAATCGATTTTTTTCCTCCTGTAATGACTGGTAGAGCATTCCTCTCCGCTCTTGCTGCTGTTCTGGTTTTAGCTTCTCCACCCACTTTTGTGCGTGATCAATTATATTTTTATCAAAGCCAATAAACTGTGCTATGCTTAATGCATTTGAATCGCCTATACATCCCCAGAGGACCCTATAAGTTGGTTGCAAGGTTTCCAGTGAAAATTCCATTGCTGCATTTTCAAAACGGTTATCCTTTTCCTTCATAGCACTTAGATCAGCATAATGAGTGGTCACAACAGCCAAGTTAACATGATCACTCAGATATTGCAAGATACTGGCAGAAAGAGCTACACCTTCTGAAGGATCAGTTCCACCACCAATTTCATCGATGAGAACAAGTGATTGTTTTGAAGCCACTTCCAAAAACTTACGAATACGTGAGATGTGCCCACTAAAAGTTGAGAGATTTTGTTCAAGGGACTTCAATTTTGAAAGGGAGAAAAACGTCAGAGAAAAATGAATTACAAGTCTATATTATTAAAAGAAAGTTCAGATATTACCTGGTGGTCTCCAATATCTGCTAGGATAAGGTCATACCAAGGAAGTTTTGGACTTGTCTTGGCAGGCAGATGCATTCCGGCTTTTGACATAAGTGATGCCAGGCCCAACGTTTTCATGGAAGCAGTCTTCCCTCCAGTATTAGGTCCTGAGATCACCACCACTCTAGTTCCGTTTCTAATTTTGAAGTCAACTGGCACAGGGAAGTCTGTTAAGCCTTGTGATGTGTCTGTAGAAACCACTGTTCCATTTCCATTAACCGACTCAGCAGAATTTCCAGACCTAAGTGTAACATTATCCGAAATGTTTTCTAGAGACGACTCCAGTAGTAATGGATGTCGCATACCCTCAATATTTACTGTTAAATCGTCATCCTCTTGCACGACTTCAACAGAATCACAGCCTTCAAGAGTACCTAAACTGAAAATTGGACATACACCATTCATCCATTGAGCATAGGCGGCTCTTGCGAAAGCAAGATCAACCTCAAGAATTTTATCCAATAAACAATTTATCTCTGATTCTGAATTTGCTATTTCAGACGCAAGCACACTCAAAATTGCTCTTTCCTCAGCCGCCTCAGAGTTTGAAAGCCTAACTTCCATGTTGTTCAAATCTATAGCTTCTTTCGGTTCCATAAAGTAGGTTGCTCCAGAGCTGCTGGCATTCAGAACAACACCTTCTGGAAGCAAATGCCTATGGGAAGCTCTAATACCCACACACATTCTAGATCGACGCTTAGTTATAAATGGTCTGTCAATACCCCCAGCCCGAAAAATTTGAGATGATACTTCCTTCAAGAAAGAATCTAAAATGTCAATGTTCCTCCTTCTTTCTGATCTAATAATCTCCAGGTCTTCACTTGCTCTATCAAGAATAACTGAAAGACTGCAATCTACACAAAAGTCTATTTTACGCTCCAAGTCTTGTAGGAAATTACAATTTTGTAGTATTTCAAGAAGGGGTGAGTACCTAATTGAAAACAATTGCATCAACTATTACCAAGTTAGTTTTCTGATGGTTAAAGCGGTTATTATATTTATACCCAAACTGTTTGAAAAAGTTTTGCACACACCTGTGTGAATGATTAGACTCGGAAGCCAATATTTTCAGAGTGTGAAACAATTCCCTGGCAGCAGTGAGTGTGCGACGAACGGTGCAAAGCTCGGGAATAGTGAGCAACTGACCGGAAACGGCAATGGATAAGATGTCAGTTAAGTCGTGAATTTCGGAGAGGTGGAGTTGTTGTTGAGGGATGATGAGTCGGGCGGCGGAAGTCTGATCGAGAAGCTTTTGGCTGTCGTGTGGAGTGCGGCCGATGGGTAAACGGGCGTTGTTGGCGGCGGAGGAGCCCATTGAGGTGGAGGTGAAGGCGGAGAGTTGCTTGCATATTGAGTTCCATTCAAGGGTTTTGAGGCTATCGGCTTGGACGGAGTTGGAGTTGGAGTTGGAGTTGGAGTTGGAGTTGGAGTCGGAGGAGTAGCAGAAACGAGGTTTGAAGGAGAGTTTAGGGATTGTGGGTTTGTTGAGGAGAATGAAGAGGTTGCAGGTGAGTTGCATCGGTGAGGTGACTCGCTTCCGAGAGCAGTTTATTACTGCTACTACCTTTCGCTGTGGATTTAAAAACAAGTGGATGAAAATGCAATTATCCAAAATTATAAGAAAATGTTATACTTATGTAAAACAATTAAGTTTCTTTATTTCTTTAGCAAAATTTTCAATTCTATGTAAACCATTGTTTACTTTAAAAGAGCACTATATGAACATACAAAATGTTCTTTCTTCAAAAACATGTTTTTATTATATAAGAGACAATTTGCACTTCAACTCAAAAATATAGAGGGGGCGAAATGGAATATAATGAATGGAATAGAGATTTCATTATATTATTTATGTATTTTTTTTAAATAATTTGACGGAATAGATAAGAACAAATCAATTCATTATCAAAATTGAAGGATTAGATAGAATATGATGGAATGGATTATGTTTTATTTCATTTTATTTATTATTTATAAATTTAAATAATAAACATACCCTTAAAGAAACTTAAATCATATCTTTTGTCGCATATTCAATATTCTTTTATTAAATAGATATAAACTCTTATGATTATTAAAGATCTCCAACTTATCATTGTACAAGTGAAATCTCAACACCTTTAACGTAAAAACTACCGTTGTCACATCTAACTCATGGGTACAATAATTTTATTCATGTGATCTAAGTTGCCTACAATTATACTCGATAATCTTACGGTTATGTGTTAATGCACATCTTAATCCTAGCGAAGATGAATCACAATAGACCTCAAAACCATCAGTGGGATCACGTATTACCAGAATAAGTGTTTTGGTCAAACTATCCTTTAAATCTTGAAAATTTCTTTAACACTCATCAATCCACTCAAAAGGATGGTTCTTACGAGTTAGGAAAGTTAACGGAGATGTTATTTGAAAGAACTTGTCCTGGACCGGTCAAAGGTCCAATGACCAACACTCAATCCATCACAAATCCACTCTAATTGGCGCAAAGTATAAAAATAGTTCACACACAAAGAACAAGGTACAATCTCTTATTTCCAATTTCACCATATTCATCTTGAATCTTGAACGGTCTTGCGCGTTAGAGTGTTAACCATGTAGATTCGCCCCGCAACATTGTAAAGGATATCACAACCACCGTTCAAGATCGTCAGTTTTCTAACTGCATCCATTTCCGGTTCCTGGACGGAACTACAACCACTATTTTTGGTTATGAAACGGAACATAACCTTTTGATGAGTCTTCGGTTATAATTTAATGAAAGTATTGAGTTTATCGACATTTGTGGGTTATTCTTAATTCAACTGAGACTTCTACTTTTTTGTATCAACTGTAACTACCCCTTGGGAGATCACATGACCCAAAAAATTTCTTTCAGTCATCCTAAATTTTCACTTACATAACTTGGAGAACAACCTTTTATCTCTAATGAATTGCATTATTATTTTGAGGTGTCTTTCATGCTATTAGAATCATGTGAATAGATAAGGATGTCATTATTAAAAATTGATATGAGTTTATTAAAATAAAGTGTTCTGGACTGGCCCGAAAGCTTGAGTGGGCCCAGTCTAAGACATCTCATAGGTGCCAGCCACTGACGGTGACCCAGACTGCCCTCACTTGTCGGGCAATATCACCCTCTTGCCCTTCTGGTCCAGCGCTGATCCAAGATGTCCGTCGAGCGTGTTCTCATTCTGCCCGACATCAACGCCGTGCAGACCACCAGGGACCGACCAGAGAGATGCCCACAACCAGCATCCTCCCCAGAACCAACGGCTAGTTACGAGCACATATGCCCGGTTTGACCAAGTCCTGGCAGTTACCTAATTTTCTGGACTCGCATATCTAGGCGGGAAATCAGGAACCAATGGCCACGTGTCAGGGGCAATATATAAACCCTCACATTTGTAAGGGCCAGGGATCATATATTCACTACTCACTACCTAATATTTTGCTAGTGCGTTCTCACTCTCACTCTTACTTGATCGATGGAGTACCTTGCAGGTACAACCCCCTCTCCCCTCAACCCGATTGAAGATCATCCTCCGGTCATTCTCCAGGTTCTGATCAACCGCAAGATCATTAGTGTCGTCTGTGGGAAACTGCTATCTTTATCTTTCTTCCCACAGAACCTAAGATCAAACCAACTTTTCTTTCAAGATCCATCTCTCTTATCATGGCCGACCATAACGATCTTTACTTGCCCGAAAGATGCTTATCCCCTCCCCAATATTGACAAATTGGTCGACAATTAGGTCGGTTTTAAATTGTTATCTTTCATGGATGCATATTCTGGTTACAACCAGATTCCCATGGCAAAAATGAACAAAAAATATTTCGCTTTCATGACCGAGTCGGGCAATTATTACTATAACATAATGTCCTTCGGCCTGAAAAACACAGACACTACCTACCAGCGCATGATAAACAAAGTCTTTTGTAACGAAATAAGCGACATGCTCGAAGTCTATATGGAAGACATGATCGTCAATTCCACCGAAGAGCCCGACCATGCCGCCCATTTGAAAAAGGTGTTCGAGCAAGCCCGAAAGTGCCAGATGTGATTCAACCCGGAAAATGCACCTTCGGCGTACGGGCAGGAAAGTTCCTCGGGTTTTATCTGACAGAACAGGGCATCGAGGCGAACCCCGACAAATGTAGGGCCTTCTCCGAATTTCCAACGCCCACCTCGAATAAATTCATCCAGATCTTAAACGGCATGCTCACTTCTCTTTCTCGGTTCGTGGCAAAATCAGCACAGCACGCACTCCCTTTATTCAAACTCCTGCGCAATGAAGCTGCCTTCGAATAGACGCCTGAATGAGAGCGAGCCATCGCCCATTTGAAAAGAGCGCTCTCACAGCTACCTGTCCTATCCCGACTCGGGAAAGACGAAGTCTTCTACCTTTATCTAGTTGTCACCTCCGAGGCAATAAGCGCGTCACTAATAAGGGAAACTCCATAGAGACAAAGGCCAATTTATTTTGCGAGCGAGGTCCTGCAAGGCCCAGAAGCGAGATATCAAGAAATAGAGAAAGTAGCCATGACCCTTGTTAACATTGCGAGAAGGCTAAGAGACTACTTCCTGGCCCATACCATAGTGGTCCGGATGGATCAGCCAATAAAACAGCTGCTCGGAAGGCCAGACATGGCCGATAGAATGCTGAAAGTGGTCTCTAGAACTCTCTGAATTCGATATCCAGAACGAATGCGGGAAAGCCCTTAAGGCTTAAGCCTTGGCTAAATTCGTAGCAGAAATGACCTCGCCCAGAGATCCGGAAGGCTTGCGCCACTAGACGATCTTCGTCGACGGCGCCTCTAGTGTGACCGGAAGCGGCGCGGGTATCATACTAGAGAACGAGGAAAGGACCCTGGTCAAAGTTTCCCTCTCCCTGTCTTTTTCGACCTCCAACAATCAAGCCGAATATGAGGTATTTCTCGCAGGCTTACGGCTAGCCGGAGATCTGGGAGCCGAGGAAGTAAAAATCTTCACTGTTTCTCAGTTGGTCGCCTCGCAAGTCCGAGGTGAATATCAGGTCAAAAATGAACAACTCTCCGAATATTGGGCCTTAGTTCAAGAGGCAAAGAAGAAATTCAGGTATGTGGACGTTCAACACGTTTCCCGCGAGCACAATGCTTGCGCGGACGTGTTATCTAAATTGGCAAGCACAAAGAGGAAGGGAGGAAATAAATTTGTAGTACAAGAGATACGTCCTCGACCTATTAGAAGCAAAAACGCATGGAAAACTTGTGATTATAAGCCAAAACAAAGATTTCAAAATCTGACTTGTGATGAAACTTCAGTTTCAAGCTACCAATTTCAAAACAATGGCATTTTCAGCTCAATGGGTCTTAGGGAATGATTCTTGATGCTTTAAAAAGACGGGGTTACAAGATTTGCAATGGAAAAGGAATGGAATCAAATGGATTCTTGAGCTGAGAGTTGCATTGAGTCAAAGTTGGAGAAAAAGGGTTGACTTTCTATACTTAGAAATATTTCAAATTTTTCTTCAAAAGTGACCTATAATATTTTGCATCCAAACATGGCCTTCCACTTGGAATTTTCTCTTGACCAAAAAAGATGGCATGAAATAGACCTCTTGAATGACATTTTTAAACTTGAACTATTCAAAATATCCAAAAATTGAGAGAGTTGTGAATTGTTGAAGTTGGCAAAAAATCATGAAATGACCTATAATCTTTTGTATCCTTGGGGCATCTTCCATCCATTTTATCACTTTGCACATAAATAAGGAATAAAGTTAACATCCTCAAGATCATTGTGGAAAAAGAGTTGGCTCAAGGTGATAAAAATTGACCAAGTTATGATCATTTGAAGTCACACATGAGAAAATAAGGGTTCATCTGGAGGACTTGTGATCTTTCTTCATCATCTAGTTTCTTCCTCATGAAAACTACTTGAAACTTTTGAAGTGATTTATTAATAACCCTTTAAAGATAAGGATTTATTTGTAATCACTCAAAAATACCAAAAGATGAGCAACATATACTTCTTTAAAGTTCAAAACCCTAGCTCCTAGATCAAGAAAATGTTTTGAGGAACTTTGACAATTTTGAACAACCTTCTTGTACCAACACTCTTGCTTTGTAAATAGAAGTTGTTGAGGATGATAATGAGGACTCATAGCAACTAAAACCACTTCCATATCTTGATAATTGAGAGAAATATGCACTTGTGACCAATAGGAACAAGACCTTGTCAAACCATGACAACTTCTTCAATCAACCCCTTGTACTTTTGAATCAATTTGATAACTTGGAAATGTAGTGAACCAAAATAAACCTTTCCATGTCATTCCTTCCAAAACAACTCCAATGGTGAGGTTTGAATTTCTAAAGCTTTATTGACTAGGGCATGGAAATAAACTCATGAACCCATGGATCAACTTGCTAAGCCACATTGCCTTTACCTACATTATTAACAAGTAAGACAAACCAACATTGCATTTTATTAATTAGAAGGAAAATCAAGACAAAATATTCATGATCACAAAA